CAATTCAACAAAAGTTTATTAAGCACTGGCGTTTTGTATGTTTAAACTTAAAATAAAACAAGAAATAGAATTTCAATGGATCTATATAAAAATATAAACATATATATTATGTTAAAATATAAACATATAATATACTATATTATTATATATTATATATTTTGTAATATATAAATATATTATAAAATGTAAACATATAATCCAATATAGCTACCAGGGAAGGCTGGGATATCAATGAAGGGACCCCTGAAGGTCACTTTGAAGGGGTTAGAGAAGTTGTTATTTCTCTTAGGAGCCAGCATTGGGTAAGGAGGGTTCTAATGGGATATAGACTCTACCTCCTCCCTGAAACCTTCCAGACTAACTGTAGTCTGATGACTTATGGAACCACCAATTTTTCTTCTTTGAATTCCTGCAACCTCATGGTACGTAGCCCCTAATTATTCCCCAATTTTTTTTCACATGCATTAGTCTTATTTCTCTAATCATAACCTTGAACTCCCTGAGAGCAAGACTGTCATCTTTTTCTTTCTGGGTCCCCGAGGTTGCTTGGCTCCCTAAATTCAGAAATCTGCTGCTTCTAAACCTTTCCCACCTTCTTCTCCACCTATCATATCTGGTCACCTTTGACTATTTGACTTCTCTCCTTTTCTTACTCCAGCTACTACATACCCCAACCCATAAGAGTACCATTTTTATAAGATTCACTTACAAAGGAAAAGAGATTATACAATTTCAGAAATAATATATTGTCATATTATCTTAAGTACATTATTAAAAGCAGCTAGGTGATGCAGTGAATAGAGTACTGGGCTTCGAGCCTGGACAATCAAGTTCAAATCCAGCCTCAGATACTTAGTAGCTGTGTAACCCTAAGCAAATCATTTAAATGCTATCTGCCTCAGTTTCCTCATCTATAAAACGAGGATAATAATGGTAGCACCTTCCTCCTTGGCTTGTTGTGAGTATCAAATGAAATAATGTTTGTAAAGCACTTAGCACAGTGTGTGGCACATAGTAGGCATGTAATATATGATTATTCCCTCCTTAGTATGACTGGAAAAAGAAGATGGACTGGTTACTGAGTGAGGTGGGTAACAGATGCATGATGCATTGGTACCCACCTGGATTACTAAGTGACTAATGTATGTTTGTCACAAACAAAACAAGCCTAATCTCTTTCACTTTATGACCTTTCAGATATGTGAAGACACAGGCATTGCTTTTCTGACTTCAATTTCAGTGCTATTACCACTATACCATACTGCCTTCTAAGGAGAGTTACCTCCTATTCTGTCTTTAATATGGAGTTCTATTTTCTAAAGTTGTTCACCTCTTTTTCATTAATAGTCTATCTCCTGGGGTCTTTTTCATCTTTCCTGTGTAGTCTTCCTTGTTATATTTGTCTGGTTTCTTGAGTTCAAGTTTGTATGGCATTAGGGAGACAGATCCTCCCCACAGTTTTTTCCAAATTAAACATTCCTGTTTCCTTCAACACATCCTCATCTGATAGACCTCAAGATCCTCCTCTGGATTCTCTCCTTCTTAAAAAAAATATCTTTAACATCCTTCTTAAACTATGGTGCCAAGAACCGAACACTCTAATCTGGATGAGGTCTGGCAAAAGACAAACAAAGAAGTTGTTTTTGTTGTTGTTGTTCAGTCATTTCAGTCTTTGTGACTCCATTTGCAGTTTTCTTGGCAAAGATACTGGAGTGGTTTGCCATTTCCTTTTCCAACTCATTTTATAGATGCAGAAACCGAGGCAAACAGAGTTGAGTGACTTGCCCAGGGTCACACAGCTAGCAAGTGTCTGAGGCCAGATTTGAACTTAGGTCTTCCTAACAATAGGCCGAGTGCTCTATCTGCTTCTTCACTTAGCTGGGCAAATAAGATGGTGTTCTTATCACCTAAAAATTAAGAATAATGCATCTATGACACACGAATCATCCGTAAAATTTTCAAAAGACAAACAGTTATCTTCCAAAGTCTTCTAGAAAGGAATAAGTTAGACCAATAAGTCTGGGCAAATGACCCAGTATCTGTTAGGTTTGTCTTATCTCATCCCCCTATTCCAAATCCTACCCCTACACCTCTCCATTTTCTTTTCTACAGATAAATGGCATGTGATGATTCTCATGTTGGGTGGTTGTGAAAGATGACCCATGATTTGGCCCCTACAGACTCATCTTCTTCCAGTCTGCTCACTTTTCCTGACACTGTCCAGATAGACATGAGTATCTTTGGGAGTGAAGGTGATTCAGGGGACAGCTTGAAATCTCTCCCACTTTTAGTAATGATTGACTATTTCTGGCAAAAGTTGGGGGGGAGGGGGAGAGAGTTCTAGTCCTCATGACTGTGCTGAGATACGTGTCAAAGGTTGGGTTTTTGTTGTTGTTATTGTTGTTTCAAAAAACTATGCTTACTTTCACGTATGATGTACTCCCAGATACACACACACTAACACTTCTTGTGAGAAAAGAACACAATATACCAAAAAAGGAGAGGAAGATCAAAGGCTTCAAAAGCAAGAAATACCTAATCTATGACATCTTCCTTGAGAAAAAAAAATCTTCATAAACAGTATTTTATCTCTTTTTATAAACTGACAGAGCTCATTTTATTTTTTTTAATAGCATGTGTGGCCTCCCTGAGTGTCTTCCTTCTGATAGGGCATGTTCCCTTTTTGGAAAGGAGGGAAAAGAACAACTTGGAACAGATCCTCAATGAAAAATTAATGGTGCCACCAATTAGCAAAATTAGCAAGACCTCCCTGGGAACCCAGAGGGTGCTTAACTCTATACTGGGTGTTGGGGACAGTGGTGTTTCAGAGGTGGAAGAAATGGCCCCTATCCTTTGGCAACTCATTGTTTGTCTGGTCAGGAAGATAAGAGTCACACACATAGGAAAGAAGAGCGGACAGAGTACAAGACACAGAATGTGAGTACAATTCTAATTCAGGGCTGAGTTGTGTGATTCAGGATATTGTTAGAGTAGTTTTAAGGGCTAGAGGACTGTTACTGTGGAAAGGTAATGTAGGCTTCATGGAAGAAGTTTACACTTAAGCTGGGTTTTGAGAGATGAGTTTTATAAGCAAACTACCAGGCAGGCATCAGGCTAGTGATTAAATAGACTTCACCTAGACTGTAGGTTAATTTATTGCTTTCCCAGACACACATACACACACACACACACACACACACACACACACACTATTTGTCATAGAGTGGTGGGGAGCAGGGAGAGGGAGTGAATTGGAAGGAGGGATCTGTGACTTCTTCAGTGAAAGGAATTCTGGGTCAAGAAATTCCCTCTTATCAAGTGAGGATGTCTTTCTGGAACTTAAGTCTCAGAGAATTGTTCCATGTGAGAGAAAGAACTTGAAGAGGTCTTCCTCACTCTGAGGCTGTCAAAAAGTGACCACTGTGCCACATTGACATCTCTATAGCATCATTAAGTTTTAATGGCATGAAATTTTGAGAAGAAACTTCTCTGAAGCTTTGGGAGTAGCATTTCATGATTTCTTTTCTCATTTTTAACTAGAAAGCTACAAATATCCCCAGACTACTGAGTACAACTTAGTCATTTGTTCATTCAGTAAACACTAAGCTAAACCTTCTGATAGGTGCTCAGTGCAACAGGGGAATACAAATATGTATAAACCAGGGGTAGCCTATGCTCCTAGGATTGTCCAATCTGGTAGGGAAGGGTAACACAGCACTAAGAGAAATGCTATAAGAGAAGGACAAGCAAAGTTTCAGAAAGATCCCTTCTAATGTCAAGATCAGATAAGGCTTCAATAAGGCTCAGTGGAAAAAATGATGGTTTGGGAGTCAAATGACCTGGGGTTTAAATTCTGACTTTGCCACTTCCCACCTCTGTAACCTTGGGCAAGCCACTTAACTTCTAGGCCTCATTCTCTTCCTTTGTCAAATGAAAGTTCTGGACTAGGTGACCTTCATGGTCCCTTCCAGCTTTAAAGTGATGATGTCATAATGAGGAGATGGCATTCCAATGGGACTTTTCTGGAGGGATTGATAGGATCTTCACCTAGGGACCTCATGGGGGAATACATTTCCAAACAATGGCAAAAAAAAATAAAAGTATGGAAGCTGGAAAATGCATGAGTGTGCTTATGGAATCAGGGTAGTTTTTCTGGAGCAAAAGGTACAGTTTGGGGAGGAACAGCAGTGGGAACCATGGCTAAAGCTGTGGAGATCAGAATGTTTGGGCCTTGGTTCTTAGAGCCATGCTTTTTTGGAGGTTGCTCAGGCCTCATATCTGGAAATATTCTTAACATCTGTTCTTGTTGGGAAAAACTGCCATTTCAACACGGGCAAAAACTCTTGCTAGGCTCAGAGGAACCAGGCTTATTTATTAGGGCTAACAACATTTACTTATGGACTGGTACATTTTTACATGCATCTGTAAGGGTGGGTTACATCTTTAAAAGGAAAATGGTGGCAACATTGCATTGTTGTTGGTTCTATTTGTTTTTGTCATGGACTCCTTTGACAGGCTGGGGAAGTCTATGGACGCCTTCTCAGACCAATGTTTTTGAATACATAAAATACATAGGATTGCAAAGGAAATCAGTTATATTGAAATATAGTTATCAAAATATTTTTTTAAAGTTCACAGACCTCAAGTTAAGAACACCTGCCCTGTGATAAGAGTATTTAGCATGGCTTTTTCATATATCATTCAGGCAGTCCAGAGACAGCAATTGACAGTATTCATTAGACCCCAGAACCTGAAGGCCAGGAGGGCTAGGTGCTACCTGACCCTTGGAAGGGGGGTTGACTTATGTTTTGTCAACTCTGTGACAGTTGAGTTGAAAAAAAAAAAGAGTCAAGTGATGCGCTTGTCTGGAAGAGCCAGGAGAGAATCAGTTGTCATCAGGGCAGAGGATAATGAGGGAGGGCACGGGAATCAAAATATTCCTGGTCCCCTGAGCAGGTTAGGAATATGTCATCTTCTCCTCACACATCACTCTCTTTCAGGTAAGATCCTGTTCCGGAGGAGTCACATTCGAGATGTTGCTGTGAAGAGACTGAAGCCTATTGATGAATATTGCAGGGTAAGTGTGTGTGTAGGTGTGAGTCTGTGTGTATGTATTTACACAGTTGGTATAAATGTCCCAGGCTCATGGGTATAGTTTAGTACATCTATCAGAATTGCTTTCTGGCCAATTATAGGGGAGATTGTTGCACGGGATGAAAGGATGGACTCAAGAACCTCTAAGGAAGTCTTCTCTTCATGCTCTGGATTCTGTGTTTCTAAGACTGGCCCCCAGGGAGGGAGGGCTGGCATTCCTGGGAGCTTAGCCTTGGCCCCTTTTAATACCATCACCTGATGCAGGCTGTCCTGTTTAAAATGGGCCCCATTTGAAGCCCTATAACGTTAGTTGTCACCTGTTGTTAAAGGGGGCGATCCAGCTGTAGAAACGCCATGAGCATGGAACTTCACTGGAAAATGGAGAGAGAGTTCCTCTATGCTTTGGTGGCAGTGAGTCTGATCATTTCAGAATGATACGGCACACTGCTTAGGCATACAGATATGAATATTCTTTATCTGTGTACCAACACATAGTTAATCAAAGTCAGTGGGTAGCATCATTAGTAAGTTCACAAAACAGACTTTGGTTTCTTAATGTCTTGGGAAGGACAATCATGTTGTCTGATCTTTCCTTCTGGAGCAGTGGATAAAGGGCTGGGTTTGGAGTCACGAAGCCCTTAATTCAAATGTGACCTCAGACATTCAGCTAGCTGTGTGACCAGGCAAGTCACTTAACCTTTGTTTCCTTAACTGTTAAATGTGGGTAATAATAGCACCTGCCTCTCAGGGTTGTTGTGAGAATCAAATGAGATGAGAATTGTAAAGCGCTTAGCATGGTGCCTGACACATAGTAGGCACTATATAAATATTAGCTATTATTATTCTTGTTGTCCAAGTCTGTGGTGGAAAACGTAAAGCTTATGGAATTCAGATACACTTGTAGAAATGGAAACATTGTGAATAGATACCTGTATTTTTAATGAAAATAGAAATTTGTGCCGGCCACGCCGACCTTGTGCCGGCCGCGCCGTACACTCTCCTCCTATAAGGAGCAGGCTGCCAGAGTCATACTTACCAGTCTTCGGAGCCTACCTGGATACACACACAGAGACGAGCCGACCAGGAGGTGCCAACACCCGAGCTTTATTCAGAGGCCATCACAGCAAGGCCAAACAGGAAGGCCATAGCAAGAGAGCAGGAGCAAAGAGAGAGCGTGCTCCCGACCACGACCGTTCCTAAGTACCTACTTAGCCCCTCCTCCTCAGCCCGCCTATAGTCAATGATTGTAGGGTCAGATACCGGAAGGGGATGTTTGAGTTTAGTGCACCAAGGGAGAGGAAGTGACACAGGAGGCTAGGACCGGATACAGGAAGGAGGCGTCTGGGATTAGTGCATAGACAAAGAGAGAGCACATGACCTAGGAAGTCAGGCCCAGATACCGGGAGGAGGCGTCTGGGGTCAGTGCTACACAAAGGGAAGGTACGTGACCCAGGAAGTCAGGAAGGACACAGGAAGGAGGCGTCTGGGGTTGATGTTGCACTTAGGGAGGGGACTAAACAAAGGGAACTCGTCCTCTGCCGTCCCACTCCCACATGGCACAGCCCCCTGCTTCGGGAGCGTGAGCTCCGGTTACTTCCCAATACCCAGTTCCTACCCCATCTTGCCACAACCCCCACCTGGCAGCAGTCAACATCAGACAGTCCCTCACAGAAATTCTTACTTAAAACAAATGATTCTGGTTGACTGTGAAAGTTTGTAAAAAGGACTAATTACAGACTTTGTTAATTGTTTTCTCCCTCTGCTACAAATCCACAACTTGTCCACACAAAGCCAATTAGAAAAAAAGTCTGGTTTTAGTAAAGGCAAGGAGTGCTTGACCCAGAGTGTCCCATCTTGAGCTAATGAGGTGCCAGAATGATGAGTCCTTTCTTCTTAAAAGCCCTCTCTTGATCAGATCAATATCAGTTTTTTAAATGGCACTAGTTATTGGAGCACAAATTTACAGCTGGTCTCACTGCTTTTATTTCTCTTTCTTCTTTTTCCAAGCAGTTAAATGGGCAAACATGGGGGTGGGGAGGGGAGGAGAACAGGGCAGACTCAGGAAAGACTTTTTTCATCTGGTGTTTACGGGGCCAAATTAGACTTAGCCTTCCTGAAGTGGTCTAGCCTCAGGCAACTCTGAAACTCCCATCTCCTGTGCAGAGGAAACTGATAAACATCTTATCTCCTGACATCAGTCCTGAGTTGGTCTTAGAGTCTAAGGGGCCCAGTAAGGTTAGGTTGGGTAGAACCAGAGCCTCCTAACCCAATTAGCACAGACAGGAACTGTCTTGAACCTAGACAGCAAACACCAAAGCAAAACACCAAAGGTCACTGCCATCTCTTGTAATGACTCCAAGAGCTGGGGCTTTTCAGAACTAACTTCTGACCTTGAGGAACTAGAAAACTGTTATCAGGTTGTCCGAGGTGCAGACTGTCAAAGAATGGAGTTCTTACCATCTACTAGGAGGCTAATGGGGTGACATTTATGCTTTAAGTTCTTTGCTGTGAGGAAAATGAGGTCAAAGGAACAGAAGTGATTTGATCAATCTCACAAGGTAGTGACAGAACAGAGATTATATAACTCAGTATTTCTAAGTCCTAGGCCTATTGTCTGTGGTAGGGAACAGCCTATCCTCAGATGAGAGAAGGCTGAGGTGAGGCAAGTGATACCCAACACATACCTGCCTAATTGTGAAAGATTCCTACTTAGCATGATGGTGGTTGTGGGTGGAGGAGATAGGTTGGTATTCTTTTGCCCTGTTCCCCCTTTTCTTCCTCAAGGTGAAGGAAGAATAGCCATTATTACTTCATTTTTCCTTGCCTGCCCTACCTTCTCCCCAGTTCCTGACTTCCTTTGCTCTCCCAGCCCCTAAAGTCCTACTTGGTACACCTAAGTTGAAGGATCTTACCTGCCTTGGGGGTCTTTCACTTTGGCCCTTTCCTAGGCCAGCCCAAGATGTTTGTTTGAAGTTCACGATACTGAAAAACATTATTAAACCTCAAAGTCCATAACAAGGTTTGGGTTCCGGAGAGGAAATCCCCACTGTTTGAAGTTGGTAAAAACATAGGACCCCAACTTCTCCACTTTAAATATCAGTTCTCCCTGTCCATATCTCCAGCTCCTTAGGCAAATAGAAGCTAGGAGAGGCATCACCAGATTAGAGTTTGAATATAGGTAAATTGGTAATATTAAAAAAATAAAAGTTTTTTTTTTAAAGCAAGAGCGATTTTGCATTTTTATCCATTTCAAGGGCTGCCAGGACCAAAGAATTTATCAGTTAATGGTCAGTCTGCTGGTGGTGAGTCTCTCTGTACTTAGCTAGGATAATAAAAGTAGACCCTGTCTATTGCTTGCACTTGAAGTTTATTCAGCTTGGTAGAATTTGCCAGAACTTGTGTGCCTCATGGGCATAGTCTTCAAGAACCCAAGCAATAAGGCATTAGAGAAAGCTCAATATTGTCTCAGCCAGCATGCTCTTGATCTCTTCAGAAAGCAGAAGGACTTGGCAACCAAGGGCAATACTGGTTTAGGGTCAAAGTTCTGAAAACATTAAGGAGGAATGAAGCCAAAATGGTGGATTAGGGTCAGCCACCTAGCTGAACTCTCCAAATATTCCTCTCTAAAAATTTTAAAATAATGCCCCAAGTCACATTCTGGAGTAGCAGAACAAACAAAGTGTCAGGGTAAGACATTTTTCTGGCGCAAGAAAACTTAAGAGGTTGACAGAAGTCTGTTTCACTAGAGTAGAGGCCTATTGGAGCCCATACATATGGGGCTGGCAACAGTGGCTGCAGTAACAGCAGTAGCTTCAGGAATTTTTTTTTTTTAGCCAAAAGACAGTAAGGGAGTCAGGCAACTGGTCAGAAAGGGATTATAGGGGAAACTTTGTTGGCACTGGGCACAGCTGGCACTGATTGGCAACTCTGTTGCCCATATGCAGTTCTGGGTTGCAGTTCCAGGGTAGAGAGGAGCACTGATGGTTGATCATAAGGGAGCAGGGGCCCTGGTCACAGTTCTAAGGCAAAGAGGAGTGCTAGCACTTGCAGCTACAGGGGACCAGGGTGCCTTTCCTGGGTAAAGACCAGAGCACCGATCAGGAAAGCAGTAACCATACCTTTCTCAGGTTCACATCACCTTGGAAGTACCAAAAACTTGTAGACCCCCAGAATCAGCTCTGAAAACAGCATCATGAAAAAGCCTGAAACCTGAGATAGTGCATGCCCACCTCCAGGTAAGCAGAGCCTAACTTTAACATAAAGTTCAAAATCAAGAAATTGTCTGGGAAAATGAGCAAAAAAATAAACAAAAAAACAAAAAAAAAGAATTTGACCATAAAAAGTTACTAGGTTAAAAAAAAAAGCTACTAGGTGGCAGGGAAGACCAGGACATAAACTAAGAAGACAAGAAGGTGAAAACAGCTATAAAAAACTTCAAAGAAAAATGCTAATTGGATCCAAACCCAACAAGTATTCTGGGAAGAATTAAAGAAAGAGCTAAGAGGCTTGGTGGAAAAATTGGGAAAAGAAATGAGAGTGATGCAAGAAAATTATGGAAAGAGAATTAACAGCTTGGTAAAAGAGGCACAGAAATTTGGAAGAAAATTACACCTTAAAAAACAGAATTGGATAAATTTTAAGAGGCACAAAAATCCACTGAAGAGAATTCCTTAGAAAGCAAAGTTGGAGGTGCAGCTAGGTGGCACAGTGGATAGAGCACTGGCCCTGGAGTCAAGAGGACCTGAGTTCAAATCCGGCCTCAGACACATAATACTCACTAGCTGTGTGACTCTGGGCAAGTCACTTAACCCCAAATGCCTCACAAAAAAAAAAAAAAGCAGAGTTGGCCAAATGGAAAAAGAAGTACAAAATTTCACTGAAGAAAATAACTCCTTAAAAATTAGAATTGGGCAAGTGCAAGCTAATGATTCTGTGATACACCAAGAAATAATAAAAACAAAGTCAAAAGAATGAAAAAAAATA